AGCAGGAGATAAGTGTGGTGGGCCCAAGAAACGGTGTCCAAACAAGAAGATCTTTCAATCATGCAGGTCCCCCATGTGGTCACCTGTCTACGTTTTGAACGCATGCCCCACCTAAACCTCATGGACGGTTCTCATTGCATCCCATGGCTGTACCCTCAATTGGCCCACGCGGCCCTGAGCTGTCTTATGTTTGTGGTACGTGGGCTCCACATAAGACTCAACATGTCAAGTCCAGCCCAGTCCTTGAAGTCTCTGAGGATCTGTCAACTTTTACGAACACTTTCCCCAAAACATTTTGGATTGTTCGACTATGAATTGGCCAGTAAAGGGCTTGGCAACTTAAAAGTAATTTTCACTTTGCACCGGAGGGAGGTTCTAGTTTTGATATAACACGTATAAAAAAACAAGAAATAATGTTTATAGTTTTCAACTTTCTTTTTCAACTTTTTTCTCAACTAATATGGTTGTGACAGTTAGTTCTAAATCATGCTCAGTTTTCAATGCAATTGTGTCATTTACAAGACAGGTATTGCATAGATGGCGAAAAAAAAAATGGTAAAAAACTGTCGCATATCAAGCATTTTCCAATTATAATAGTTGTATTGGGCTTAAGTGTTCGTTTTGAGAGTGATTCTGAATATGCCAATAATTACTTCTTCATATACGTGATAACATATAAACACTTTCTTTTGGGGACAAAAAGTTAAAAATTAGCGAAAAAATTTAGCGTCAAAGTCATATTGTGACATAGTGTTATTAATCCATGTGTTAAGACGAACAGGCAAAATAGTTGATATGTTGTGGACTTAGAATATATTTGGAATAAAAATATAGACTTATTATAACCGCTATGGATTAACATTCTGAAATTTATCATGTAGTTCGAGGAATGTCATATATACGAGCTCTACCTTGATGATAGTTTTAGGAGCTCTGCGAATTGAAATGATATCGATAGGAAAGATTTCTATGCCCTAAGAAGTACACTAGAAGATAAAGAAGGCAAAAGGGACTGAATGACAATGTGTCATAAGTTTGTGTTTGATGATTCATGGCTTGTACTTAAAAATCTTAGGAAACCTGCAAGCACATAATATATATGTTGATTAGCAGTTTGACTTCATCATATATATTTTACAGGTGACTGCAGTAGGTGGTCATGGCTCAAAAATGAAAATGATTTTGGACCTCTTTTGACCGTACACGTGCTTGAAAATGGTAGGACTTGTCATTGGGCAGTGACTATATATATAGTCTATATCTAGTGTTATAATATAAGAGTTGAATTGCAGCATCTCTTAATTATTACGGTGTCTAGTTTAAATATAAAATACACAACTCTCTATTGCGAGGAGTTGACAGGAGCGAAATTACTCAAGTGTGTGATTGAAGAAGCTAACAATTCATGTGCGTAATAATTTCACTACCTCGAATGTTTTCGGTTGTCTAAAAAAATTTCGTAAGGAACTTTAAAAGATGTGTCT